TAAAAGTTCCTGGATATATTCATTTCCTCTACCTGTTACCTACACACACAAGTAAGAGGTAGATTTGAGATATTTTCATTGATGCCAATAAGAATTTTCACTACATTGTTAGTTGGATAGCATGAATTTTAATTCAGTGTTGACCTGTTTGCTCTGTTATTAAGCATTCAAATTAGCAACTCTCACTTTTTAAGTTTCTTGGACCCAGACTCCAGCTCTGTTCAAATTAGAGGTGTGATCGCTCAATATGATCATACCTATGCAGTCAGGAAAGATGGTGTCTACCAGTGATTTTCAGATGAATGACAGATCTTTAGAAATAAGCTATTATCTGACTTCCTTCTTTTCACATCCTCATTTCCTAGGCAGACTACACAGATCACATGAAGACACATTTGCATTAGACATGCTGTCATGATTTGAAATGTGGACCAAGCAAATAATACCATGCACACTCCAGCTTCGTTATTAGCTCTAAATGTGAGTTGACTAACAACTTTCTGTTGCCTCACAATTTGTAGAGTGGCTCTGCCATTTCCCTCAGGAATGCTTTGAAAATTAATGCAAGCAGGCAATATTTATAATGATCTTTAAACTTGTACAGTGCTGCTATACTTCTAAGCACTATGTACTTGAGCTACCACTTTCTTTGTTCAGAGATAGGTTTGAGGTACTATAACTCAACAAACATAGCAATGACATGAAAAACAGAAATAGGTATTAAACTGATTATTTCTTTTTGTTTTGTAACCATCAGTTGCTGAACGAAAGTCTTCTCTGTTGGTGGACAGTAAAGAACGGATTGTCCTTTTTTTTTTTTCTGTTATAAGGGTGCATTCAGAGTGCTGGTGCTCTGACTGAATTCCAGCATGAGTAATTACATCCTACCATATCTAAATATCAATTAGACATGGTCTTTTTTTATTCATTTCCTGTTCCACATTGCTGGGTTGTGTTGCTGTGCCCTGCTGAACAGTAGCCACATTCACCCTTAAGTTGGCAACAATTTTGGGGCAGACAAAGTGCTATCTTTATGTCTCAAGGATGATTCTCTGGATACTTCCACAGACACTGGTTTTGCTCTGGAGCAGCTTGAGCAGTGTTGCTTTGTCTTACAGATAAGTGTGTGTGAGGATTACATACAGTAACAATTATAAATATGAAGTGATTAATAATATTTGATGCTGTGGACTGTTGATGGATATAAAGCTGTATCTTGTGAGCCAGAGATTTAATTACTAGAATAATATAAAATTCACTACTAAAAAGAACCCTATAGTAGAGTTAGGATTTACTCTCTTGGGTTTTTTTCTTCAGTTCATCAGGATGAATTGTGAATGTGGACTTTCCACTTCAACTAATTTACAGAACATTAGCCTACCAGTATTTATACTGTGTGCAGTGGTGTGGTATCTGAGTTATAGCCAATAGTTTCACCAAGTGCTAATCAGTTATTCTTTTCATTGGATATTGTGCCAGATTTCTTTAAGGGCAGAACATAACATCCAGTGACAAAAAAAAAAAATCATTTATTTATGAGGGACATGGTTTAGAGCCCATGAGTAGTGAGGAAATCAAATTCTTTTCATTTACTTGCAAGCTCACTTCAGTAACTCGGCAGAGTACAGTGCAGAAAGAATAGGGGATGGGAGCAGAGCTATTCCAGTTTGACTTTGATGGCATTGTGAAACAGCCTTCTAAACTCCAGGCCAAGCAAAAATTCAAGGTACCTGGTGCCTTGCAGTATTATGACTTTTATTTGCTGGGATGTGTCATGATACTACAGAGATGAAGAAAATACGGAAGTTTCCAGATGTCTGTAAAGGAAGCTGGGTGTAATACTTAAGCGTCTCATGGTTTTGCTTTATCAGGACTTTAGTCCTTAACGGTAGTTTCTGTATATGACTCAGATTTGTTTTCTGCTGGTAAGTATCTGCCCAGCACCTTTCAAATGGTGCACCTATAGAACCCAGGACATGGGCCGATCCTAAGACCTACAGCATGAGCAGAAAATTCCTTAGGTATAGGAGACTGGCTTCAGCTTTTGAAATAAAGATGGGCGATGTTTGTGTAAACACTTGGTGTACCCCCTTGTTGGAGTGAGTAACCAAGGTGATCTGCAGTTTGATTAGCGCCTTGTTTTATAAAATTGCAACTTTGAAGTAACACTTTATGTCTGTGAAATCAGATAAAGGGTCACTGGCCTGCCCACTTTGGGAGTGTTTCTGAGGTTAGACAGCACCAAACTTTCCCAAAAGATAGAACTGGATCCAACAAGTAATTGAGGTTACAGCTGAAGGCTGAGCTGTTTCTCAGGGAGTAAGACAAGCCTTGATCTTTTTGCTCAGTGATCTTTTTGCTCAGTGATCTTTTAATGGGAAAAGAAACATACTTTCTTTTCCTGTCAGTTAATTTACATCCGGGATTCAAAAGAGGGAGTAGTGACTGGGTGACCTTGGCTTGCATAAAACGGAGCTTCAAACAGAGCTAAACTCTTTCTAGTGAGGCTGGCTGGTCTTTCAACAATATTCTTGTATTGCTTTGGGATACCCAGAGTCCCCAGGCACAGATTTATTCTGCACACTAATTGCAAATGCTTAGGGAAGGTGACAGTGTAAGAGATTTATAACTAATTGCAATGATTAAAGTACTAAGTCTGAAATACAATGTATACTTTTCCATGTTACTATCTAGTAAGCAAGATGAATCTGTGAACAAGAACTTCAGTGCACATCAGTCTTGTTGACTAAACACCATATATTGAGAGTTTGCTGTCATGTGAAGAAAATTACTTATTAGAATAATGGGTTTGAAAGTTGCATACTGGCTGGCATCTTTCAGATTGATATATTTGTTTCAGATAAATATTTCATATTATGGAATCCGGGCTAGGTGCGCTAATGGGGACAATCTACATGCAATCCATAGAGGCCCTTAATTTTGGATACCAACAAGAGATGTGCATGGCAGTTGTGGATGACTGTTTGTACACAGTCTGTATATATCTAATATTTCTGCTTGCTTAATTTACGCATTTGGAAACAAACCCATATGTCATTTTCCTCTTTTTAGCAGAATTATAGTGACTTCTATACATATTTCTCAAATGCCACGTTAGCCCAATTGCACTGGAAAGACAGATCAGTATTCAAACTGTCAACAAAGAAGACTGATGTTGGTCATAAATCCCCATTATCTGAAAGATTTGATGTGGACTTGAGTTGGGATACAGCTTTGATTAATGCTACCTAACTGCATCATTACCTGATGGCTCATTTGCATGTGGTATAATGGAGATCAAATTATGGTGAAAAGTGCTTATAAATGTGGGTGCTGATTGTGACACCACATTGAGAAACAAAGCCTCAACTCTGGGTGCTGTATTATTAGATGTACAGCACTGAGTCCAACTCTAACAGCGCAGCTATGAGTGACTCAAGGCTCAGAAACACACAGGCTGCACAGTGCTAGGCAAGAGGTTAGCTGTATAATACATGCCACCCCACTAAATCTACTTGATTAATGATGTACTAGCATTTTATTAGATTAATGTGCATCACCACGGCACAAGCACCCTCTAAAATTCTGTGTCCCGATTTCTCTGGTTATTGTTTTCTTACAAGTCACTACTTTTTGAGAACAGGTTGTGCTGTGTTATGCCTGGCTGACTTGTAAAATCCCATGACATATGAAGATCAGAGCTTATTATGCTTGAATATTTTTGTTCAGGCTGTAATGGAATAAAAGTATTTTAAGTAGGCGGGAGACACAGGCACACTCCAGGATGGCCAGAAGCGGGGTATTCCCACAAGGTTGTGGGAGAGCCCAGTCCTTGTACCTGCTATGCCTCACATGGAGCAGCATCCCAAACTCCAGGTGAGTATCTTTTTGCCTACAGTATGCCACTGGTTATCTTAGCTTCAATTCTAATGCAGCTTTCATTTCATCCCTGTCTTCCTCTGCTGACTGGACAGCAGTGCCCCTCAAGAGGCTGTCACATATTCCTGTCTATGACACAGCTAGCCAGTACAACAGAAGGATGCTGACACACTTTACTGTTTAAATTAAAAAAAAAAAAAAAAAAAAAGCCTGTGAATGTCCTAGTCCTAAAACTGCTTTATTTTACGTTGAAACTAAGTACCAAATACAACCCTTAAGACATGAATGAATGTGAATTCTCTTTGTCTAACTCTGTACTTAGCATATCCATTAACTGCATTCCTTATCAGATTGTGCTTCTATGGCTAAAGCATGTGGCTGGAACCATTTCCGTTTTCAGTGAGAACCTCCGTTAACATGACACAATTCCCTTAAAAATGCAGACACACGCTCAGCAAATTTGATAAACTATGAGATTAATTTAGATTCACAAAGATGGCGAAGCAGACTAATCCTTCCTATGGAGGATAATGTTTAAACAAATTTATTTCATTCAATGAAACACCTGGGCAAGCTTATTTAATATAATCTTTGCATTTAATTATCTCCACTGAAGGGGCACTTGCCATATTTCAAAATATGATTATTTTCTTTCGTATTAATTATTTTAAGATCCTAAAAGGAAACCTGGAAAGAAATAAATAAGGAAAAAAAGGGCTCTTAATTAACCCGAGCCACCAGAAGTCATCTTTTTGGAATAGGAAAGCTAGGATATGGGATTGCCAATAAACAGCACTTTAAAAATCAGATTCTTTACATGAATAATGAAGAATAGCTGTTAAAGCCTGAAAAGAATTGTGTATGATTGAATTGTCTCGGCATTGATATCCAAGAGGCACACTTGTACATTAAACTGTCTTGTGGAGAAAACACAAAAATGGAAAAAATAATTCTGTGAAGAACTCAATATGGTCAAAATTACTGGCAGAAGTCAAGGAAGTGCAGAATTATGAGATACCCAGAGAACAGCACAGCCCAGAGTCAGAGTCTCAGTTCTATTTTTTTACTCTCCCTCTGCTCTTGTGAGGTTGGTGCAAAGCAAGCTGTTCTTTCTGGGAAAAAATTTATTCCCCAATATATTTCTGGCAAGCAGTTTTGCCATGAGTATTCTCACTGCACAACACAACTACCCTTTTACTTGCCAGAGAGAATAATGTATCCAAAAGCAGAAGACCCTGTTGTCCCCCCCACAACTGGAACTGCCATGCAAACAGGACTTGGATGTGATTTTTCTAGATGGCAAATTACTACACTACGGCAACTTATGCATGAGTAACTAGATCACTGTTTTTTTGCAGCATCAGTACTACATGAAAGGATATTTGCAACATCGGTTTGCACGGGGTGAATTAACTGCATGTATGTATCATCTAAAACTTGCTTTGGTTGCTTAGGCATAAGAGGGGAACAGTGCCCATTTCAGGCAATTATTTAGTGTTCTATTTAGTAGTATTTAGTTCTATTTAGTAGTATTTAGAACTTCTAGGGTTCTCTTGTTTAATCATTTAACATGTTATTTTGCTCCTTTAAAGGCTAAATACAGTCTTGCAAAGCATGTTACATGTGCCCTAACCTTTGTCGGAAGCCAGACAGTGCTTAATGCTATCAGTAACAGCTTTGCCTTGTGTTCTGCTCCCTCTGGGAACCGTATGTCCCACACTGTAGGTGTGAAAAAGGATCAAAGAATTTTTTCTGACAGAAGTACTTTAGCCATTTATTCTATCAGGCAGTTACACACAGTTTAATTTCCAGTCAAAGTGAATGCAGTTACCAGATCACACTACTGCTTCGACTAGACAACAAATTAAGCAGTTTTGTGCCACTTGCAAAACTAATTCAAAGTCAACTCTTACTGTTGAAGACGGACTTGTTTTTTCTTTAGTTTTTCAGAAGGCAGGAGGTTTATGCCACTTTTTTGTAGTTGCTTTCTATAGGTGCTTGTACTATCCCCTAATCACTACTGGCCAATCAAACTCATCTGAAAAGATTCTCTTGGTGTCAGTCTTGCCATTGACGGTGTGTGCTTTCTTTGGGAAACATTTAAGATGATAGGAAATGTTTCTGAAAGGTAGGAAACGGGGGGGGGGGGGGGAATGTTTTCTGACCATCTACACTTGTATTCTTGCAACTGAGGATATTTTTACAATTAATTGAACCGAAGTGTATTGCTATTTTGTCACAGAACTGTATTCAAGCCATTCCTGGAGACGGCACATTGGATGACACAGCAGCAGGAAACCCACATTCCTCCTGTTTTCCCACCTGCAAAGTGGCAGTGAGTTCAGTACATCAGTCCTATCTTTCAGATCACCCTTCGAACACGATATTCAGATTTAAAGTGAATAGAAATCAGAGAGCATGTAAGGTGCAAAGAGGGAGGTCGGCTGCTTATGTGGCAAGAGCTGTGCCATCTATAAACAGGCAGGAGGGCTGGCAGACAGCGGGGCCTGCTTTGAGGCTCCGTGCCAAGGCAGACCCCTCGACCTCCGTACATATCACCCCTGGTACATGGCTGCTGCCCATGGGCTGCTCCCCTACCCGCGGCAGGCTCGGGGCCTGCAGACTGCCGGGGTCCGGGAGGGGCTTCCACCCTCCGTGACACGCCGCGGGGGGCGGCGAGGCGAGAGGGGGCCGGCGCTGAAGTGGGGGTGAGGAGGCGGAGGAGTGGGAAAGACTGTGAGGGGAAAAGCGAGGGGGGCGTGAGGGAGCGGGGGTGAAAGGGGAGCGAGCGCAGAGCCGGCGGGCGCGGGGAGCGGAGCGGGTGGCAGCGAGCTGCCCGAGCCAGCGGCTGCCGGGCCATGGCGCGGCGGGACGGCGGCTACGGCGGGACGGGGCTGCCCCGCCTGCTGCTGTGGCTGGCGCTATGGGGGCTGTGCCGCGGCGGCGACGCCGGCACCCGCTCCCTGCCCGCCCGCCAAGCGGCTCTGCCCTTCGGCGGGGGCCGGCCGGCGGCCTGCAGCCCGCGCTGCCAGCACGGGGGGGTCTGCCTCGGCAACGGCACCTGCCTCTGCTCCAAGGGCTACGAGGGCGAGCTCTGCCAGCACGGTAACGCACCGCGGGGCGGGCGACGGCGGGTTGTATGGGGTCACTGGGCCGGGGCCGCCGCGGGCGATGGTGGGAGAGGAGCTGTGGGGGCGAGATGAGAAGCGCCCCAGGCCGCTCCGGGAGCGGGCCCGCTGCTGTGGTGACTTGGTCCTTGGTGGTGGTCCCTGGGCACGCGTCTTGGCCTGAGCAGGGCTGGGCACGAATACCTGTGTCAGGTATCTGACCGGGTACCTGATAGGTGTCTGAGCCTTCCCACAAGTAGTCTCTCAGGGAAGGTCTCAGGAGCTCGGATTTGGATCGAGTGTGGGAGGCTGGTGGCTGGATGCTGGGGAGGATGTAAATGAGGTGCAGTGGTGGAGGAAGAGGGGTAAAGATTCTCAGTTTCTGGTGAGGCAAGGCAATGACAGCGAGCTGGTAGAGTGCAGCCAGGAGCCAGGTCCTTTATGAAGGCACACATGTAGTGATAGGGCAAGGGGTAATAGGTTAAAACTTAAACGGGAAGTTTAGATTGGATATAAGGAGGAAATTCCTTCCTGTGAGGGTGGTGAGGCAGTGGAATGGGTTGCTCAGGGAGGTTGTGAATGCTCCATCCCTGGCAGTGTTCAAGGCCAGGTTGGACAGAGCCTTGGGTGACATGGTTTAGTGTGAGGTGTCCCTGCCCATGGCAGGGGGGTTGGAACTGGATGATCTTAAGGTCCTTTCCAACCCTAACTATTCTATGGTTCTATGATTCTATGTAGGTGAGTAGACCCAGCCATCAGAAATAGCTGTTTTGTCTGCAAGTAGTGTTTTACCACATGAACATTGGATAAACATCCACTTTCTGGACAGGCTTTGGCATTGGTTTCCTTTTCTTACTTTTACTGTGTATGCTTCAACACTTCCCCAAGAAAGGAATGGTGCTTTTAGAGGCTGGCAGCTTTCTGAGCCTCAGCAATGTTGAAGTGGTAAACTGGGTGTGATTAGTGAGCATGGGACTAATTAAAAGATTAAAAATGTGTGTAGGAGGTAGGTTCTTTTCTGGGTCTCTTGTTTATTTAGAATATGTTGTGATAGTAAAAAATACTGGAATTTACTTCATATGTAATACCTGACCCACATAGTCAATTTGTACCTCCCATTTCCATGGTAGAAGATGTAAAGCTAGGGTGAACTGAAGTCTGTTCCTGTTGGCTTCCAATGGGAGACAGTATTTTTGAAAATCGCAGAATGGTTTGGGTTAGAAAAACCTTAAAGCTCATCCAGTTCCAATCCTTCTGCCATGGATGGGGACACCTTCCACTAGACCAAGTTGCTCAAAGTCCCATCCAACCTGGCCTTCAACACTGTCAGGAATGGGGCAGGCACAGCTTCTCTGGGCAATCTGTTTCAGTGCCTCACCACCCTCACAGCAAAGAGCTTCTTGCTTATATCTAATCTAAATCTTCCCTCTTTCAGTAGTGCAATATGCAAAAGTAAACACTAGGGAAAGAGGTTTTATTTATAGCCTGTTTAATATAATGTGCTGGATTTCTTATTCCTTTCTTCAGAAATTTAACTGCAGAACATTGTGGCTATTAATTGCTAAGAGTCACTCAATATCAGGAGTTCTTTTGCTTCACATGTCTCGTGTGAAGAGATAATACAATTTGTACAATATCTGTTCTAGTTCTCAATGTCCTTCGCTGAGTTTTTGCGTTTTGTTTTGTTTTATAACTCTGAAATGGGATGTTGAAAATTTCATTCAGCACTGTAACCATTCATGGAACATCATTGATTTATTTAGAAGCTAAGGCTAGCAGGTGGTGACAAATGACGTGTCGCTAATGCACTGCATAGTGGGGATGAATAGCTATGCTGTATGCACTGTTCCAAACAACTGTTGGATCCTAGACATTTTTGGGTTTAGGAGGGATGGGAAAGGTTGTTGGAGATTTAGATCTAATTTTGAGCTAGGGAGGTGAACTGTCTGGAATTGTTAAGGGAACTAATGAATGTTTGCTCTGATAAGGTCGTCAATGTAGAAATAAATTTGGATAAATGAAGCTTCATAGCCTGTTCTGTCAAGAGAACTGAACTGAAAACTATGTGAAATAACACAGAAACAGAGTTTTATTTAAGTTGCAAGCTCTGGTATGGCATTTCCAAAGAACTGAAAGCAGTTATGAAGAGCTGAGTGCTGAATGGTTCTTTCTTACATGTCTATGTATTTGCATGCAAATACTCTTCCTGCAGATACTAATGAGAAAAATCCTCTGTTCTTCAATTGAGTTGATTCAGAGTGCTAAAAGTGTATGAGGGCAAAGTCAGTGTGGTTATTCATGGCTTGTCTTTTCCCTTTTCTTGCCTCTGTTTCAGCATTCTCACCCATCCAGAAAATACAAAGCAATGCGGTGTAGAGAACTCATCTCACACCTGCAGTTAATCCAGATAAGACTCTCAAACACATGGGTTTCTAAAAGTTGTGTGTGAATAAACAAATGATTTCTCAAACACCAGGGCTGATTCAAAAAATGATTTATGAATAGCAAGGAGATCTATAGTATATGTAATTTATTTGCAATCTGACTGGACTTACCCAGAATTTAGCAAAATGAAGATTTTTATTTGTGCCTTATTCAACCTGTCCAAGATGTCAGCAATGATCATCACAGAATCTGTGATGATCATAGATGTTTTATGATAAAGCTTACATTTATCTCAGATGATTTCTAGACAAACACTGTATGTCTCCAAAGGGGAAGCTGAGGCAAAAAAAAAGAGGGTGGAGTAGAAGGAAATGCTGGCTTCTAGAGACATTTTAGAGAAGGGGTATGAGGAAATGAGCATGTAGTTTTTTCTGGAGACACTTGCAGGAATCCAGTAAAGAGTGAAGTATAAGAATCAGAAGACGCTCCTTAAGTTGCAGCATTTTTAATTAAATAATTTCTTCTTATCACCTCTTTTGATAACTGAATTCAAGAAATGACAGGTGAGAAAAGCTTTTTTGGTAGTCCAGCTGTGTTCCTGCTTAATATGGCTTTTTCTTCTGCCCGTCTTCTATGTCATCCAAAAGCTTCCTTAGTTTTGAGTGTTTAAAAGCTTAAAATGGTGGAATGCTGTCCGTAAGAGAAACTGTTTCAACTCATGTAGAATATGCAGAGCAAATATATCTTAGGAAATGTGAAGACAAACTGAGTACTTGGAGACTAAAATAATGTGAATTTCTTATGTACTGAAGCAGTAACTTTGGTAAGCCTCATCAATATTTACCTAAGGTTTGGCTTTTTTCTCTCTCTTACAGCAACATGTTACCCAAAATGTAAAAATGGTGGGGAGTGCCTCAGACCTGGAAAATGCAGATGTCCACCTGGCTACGGGGGTAGATACTGTCATAAAGGTGAGAAAGAGACAACAAGGGGTAGCTTGGAAAGACAAGGAGTTTGAAATCAGACAACACGAATTTGGGACGACTCAGCCTGTGATTCTGTGGTCCAATTTGTCCTTGAATATCGGACTGATGCCTGCTTTCCTCTAGTCTTCAGGCACTTCTCCCAGTCACCATGATCAATCATATACAGTCAGTATTAAACACATTAACTTACAATGTATGACAAAGAAATATGCAGACAGGCTCTGAAGAGCTTTGCTAGCTGTGCTGGAGTTGACTTGCGTGTCCTTGTATGTTCAGCATTTGTGCCAAATATCCTTTAGCTGAAATCATGCTCAAAACTTGTGAAAGATACTTTTTCCTGCCAAGTATCAGGCAGACATCCCAACTGTCTGTCATTATAATGAAGGATACTTGTTTCTCTTCAATACAGTGAATGTGGTGTATACATTTACATTCAAGCTTATGAAAAGATGCATTTGCTTGTACAGAACAGTAATTATGCCATATTTCAAAGACGGTGCACACCACAGTTGATACCAATCATATGTGTGGCATAAATAACACTTCATTAATGAGGTCTTCAGGGCTTTGATGTGTAGAACAAATCTGGAATGAAGAGGCTGACTTAGCTGACCTTTGGGAAGGCACCAGTCAACTTGAGTATGTTTATAGGTTCATTTGTCAAAGTAATATCCCCTTCTTTTCTTCCGCTTGTTATGTATAGGTCCTGTCAGGTAAGGAAATATGTGAATCCTTGGTCATATGTTACTGGCTTACCAGCTGTGATTTGGCAAGATTAATAAGAACATGCATGCTAGTAGCTACTGTGGTGTAGGTGATGAACAGTTGGTTCACAGCTGGGGAAGGAGAAGAAGTGTGCCATAGCAACAAGTATGTTTGTTCGTTGGTACTCTCA